AACAGGTAATCGTGGATTCTCAAGGCACTCTAGACTGATGCTTTACCCAGTATCGACTCGCACTCAACTTATTCCGGCGTTCTTGCATATATATCGCCATGGAAGAGAAATCGGACTGACGAAGGTATCGAAGAGGGATTGGCAAGGGGTGACGCGGTTTGGCTGGAAAGGTCTGTGGACATGACCAGTACACCATTGCAGAATCGTCGTTTAGGACTACAGGCATAGTCATTTAAGAAACCTCGATGTGTGTAGCAGGACCGATATTATTACAGCCCTTCCATGACCTAGCCATCATCAAATATCCGAGATCAGTGGGTTACCTATGTCAGCACCTATGCGGAGGGCCGTTTAGGCGCCACGCAACTTTCTCGGTACACTCAGCTGCGGTAGTTTAATGGCCGTACTAACATAATTGCCCGGACGTACTAGAAACTGAGAGAATGTCTAAAAAGCGTGCAGACCCTGAACAAAAGGAATGAGATCTATACCGAAAATGCACCCCGTCTATCCCAATGCTTTTTCAATGCCATCAAGGAAATAACATCACCCTACTCTAATTATTAGTAACAAATCTAACCCATCCCTTGTATAATTCCAACGCTTTTCCCAATGGTGTTATTGTAGTACAACAATCCATGAAATTGTAGCTTGCGTGGAACATTCAATCTTCTAACATGTCCCTGAAAATCTACTCTATATCTACCGATGCGCCTGTCGTCGCCTTATTATCTGGCTCGTTGCTAACCTCCTCTTCCTCAAGCGACTTGAGAAAATTATCCGACTCAGAAGCTTCGCATGAGAAGCCAGTCTCCTTTTCGAGTGGAAGTCTAAGAACTCAAGTCGTGTTAGCAGAGTTTCCCGTCCACATAGAGAAACACGCTCGAAAAAGAAAAGCATAATGCTCACGTTTCGACATCATCACCCCCTTCCTTCCGTCTCTTCCTCAAGATCTCCCGAATCCTCTCACATCCAGACAACCCCTCTCGAACCTGTCTTCTGCCAACATCGCACTCCTCCAAACCTGCCCGATATCTCTTCTCAGCCGTGTCAATCCCCTCCAATCCATCTCGAAGTTGTCGCTCGATGCCACTAACCAAGCCCAACACAACAGCACCCCGTTCGCCGTCAGTAAAATCTGCCGCCCTATCGCCCTCACAACCCTCTCCCACTCCACCTCCCCCATCCAACGCCATCGGTGTCGGACTTGCAATAACCTCAGGCGGCCCAACCTCAATAGTCCTTACACTAAACACCACTCCTCCCCCTCCTTCTAACCACTTTACCTCCTCTACCCCGCCCCCCGCCACCATCATCTTCTTAAACACCGGCTTCCCCACAACCTGCATTCTCGGGCTACCCACAACCTGCCCACCCACTCCCAACTCCAACCCCAATCCCCTCCCAAGCGGTAACCTCGCTAGCGGCGACGCTGACTGCGCACTCCGCAGTCTCTGCATCGGTGGCGGTACGGATGTCGGATTCTCGCGCTTATGATAAGGATGCGTGCTGCTGCGGCAGCGCTCTGTGGCTTTTGCGCGTGGCCGGCCGGAGCGGGTTGTGGAGGGGGCGCGGTAGAAGGAGGGTTGAGGATGTTCTGGGGGTTGGCTGTGCGCGAGGGTGTGGAGGAGGTGGTAAGGCGACGGGGTCGTGAAGGATACGGGATGGTAGTGATTCTGGTGAGGGAGTGAAGGGTTGGTGGGTTGGGGGGAAGTGGGCGTTTGCTGCTGTGGGGAGAAGTGGACGAGGCGTCCCTGGTGCGGGCTTGGGGCTGAGAAGGAGGCAGATGTGCTGCTATTGGAACTCGTGTGATGGGAGTGATGGGGTTGTTGGACCTGAGGACGCTGCTGCGATGTATGTGGGTGCGAGCCTGAGCAGATGACTGGAGAGTCATGGAAGAACGGGGAAGCGAAATCGTTGGCATTTGTGTGCTCTGGGAGCGAAGTCGTCGAGATGCTCGATGGAACTGGCTTCAGGCTCGTGGTTGTTGTCGATGACGGGAAGGGCTCCAATAGCGCAGCATGCAAATCGAGCGTGTCGTCGCTAAAGTCATCGAACAGCAGCGGATCGTTGAAACTTGGCAGTAGTCGGTCCAGCGGCTCATCCTGCTGTATCGACGGGAGGAAAGGATCCTGTGACAGATCCGTGAACGCGTCGCGAGGCATTTCTCCACAATAGCTCGGGCGCGCCGTCAGCTCAGCGATGAGAAGTTTGGAACGAAAGAGTCAGAAACGGGAATGGCGGGGGGAGGGTTACACAGGGCGAGGGGAAGGAGGCAAGGGAATGACTTCTAGAAGTATTGGAAACGTGTTCTTTGTTGCTGGCATGGTGACTTGTCCGAGACATGCAGATGGGTCCGGTGATCTGTGGTTGATTGAGGCGTTGAGGATTTTGGTTCGCGAGCGGGTATGTGCAGCTGTCTTGGTCTTGTTTTTGAAGGAACTGTTGGATGTGCTGTGGCAAAATGATATGAGGGATTATCTAAGAAGTTGCGAAGACAAAAAGGCTATGTCACTGTTTGGTTGGCAGAGGGGAGTTTTGTGCAATCTGATATTCTGATTTGCCCTTCCAAAGGTGGCGCAAAAGTGTCGCGACCTATCTGTGAACCTGTCAGAGTGTTGTTAGGACGATTGCACATTGGAGAAACTCGAAATGATTATTGGCAAAGCGAGTGAGTGCGATAGGAACAGAGAGCAGAATTGGGCGGACACTTTTATTTGAAAGCTTAACCTCACTCTCCATCACTAGAAGTGAGGCATCAATCTAGCTCAATTCCAAGCAACCGTATGCTCCAGAAACAAGATAAGAGTAGCAAGTAGCCTACAATACATACCTTCATCCCACTCCGTCTCAAACACACTTCTTCCAGTCCAGTTTGAAAATGGTACAAAAAGGAAATCACTATGCTCTGCATCGAACCAAGAAGTAAAAGAAACAGACCCTGCAAGGGCCCAAAGGAATCCTTTCGATTTGCTTATAGTAGTAGATGATTAAGACTCACTCAATCGCTCTCTCTAGCCTGATTGGAGTTAATATGATGACTACGGTATCTGACAAATGTAGATTGAACCTATACTTCCACCGCCGCTCAACCAACCAGTTTTGATGGAGGGATCAAAAATAAAAGAAATATATATTGTTGAAATTCAATTTGGGGAGGACTCGGGAGCACGTGTTGGTTTGGTTCCCCGGATGATATCATAGGACTGGGAGTGCTGTTATGCGTCGGGGCGGTTGTGATGCACGCCGGCCATGGCTACCTATACCCATTCTAAGGGAATTCCTTAAGGGCTTGCAAGTACTTAGCAATAGTTTCTGAGCAAGCCCATGGCAAGGAAGGCGTATACTTGGGCATTTAAATCCAGACTATCTCGAGAGCCTCCTTATTGGGAAGCTAGAGGAGTTGGAACCCTACACGATCTTCTGGAGGGTCAATGGTTGATGCAATGTAAACAAGGCTTGGCTTAGCGATGTCCACTTTAAGGGCATAAATACCCATAGCGATGAAGGCCTAATCTAAGGGGGGTGCGAATAGTTTCGTCACTAACGCTGATGAGCGTCGAGGAGCCTTCGCTGATGGTGGTGGAATTCACAAAAGGCCTCTCGCCTGTACGCTGTTAGCTACGATATACCCGTCTCTGATTTCACAACTGTCCATATGTGTACGCTTCCCCGAGAATACTCATTTTCTGAGTAAATCGACAATAAATTGAATACGGATTGGAAGAAGGATAACTTATAAAATATAAGGAAGAGGGGAATAGCAGATAGTGAATGTTTACTTGCTCATATACTTTGGTTGAGTGCTCCCACACACTTGAACATTGAATGCTCTCGTAGAAGTGGAGTGTTGTATATCAACTCTCAAGTCCATCATCGACCCTTCAATCATCGACTGCCATTCACGTAGGAATTCCAGCGTCTGCGAAGCCATTCTCACGATGCTTTCCCCCTTCCCTCCATTCCATGCTTGAAGCGCATCTCCCAAAGTCGATTCAACGCCACCCATATTCAGATCTTCCCGACCGAGTCCTACAATCCAATAGTACATATTATACAAATCCTCCGTTCCCTCATCTCATCACCAGCATTACGAGCCACTCTTTTTCTCACCACCTTCTCCTTTTTCGTCCTTCGTGCTCTCACCATTCCCCCTCCCCTCCCCCTCCTTCTTCCCCCAATTCCACACATCCCAGATCTGTTCCATAATCAAACTACCATATCCCCTCCCCTCCTCCAACGCCTCCTGCTCCTTCCTCAACCTCCTCTCTTTCCACCCCTCCTTCTCCTCTCCCATCCACACCTTCTCCAACACCCCTTTTTCTCTCTCCTCCCTCTTCTTCTCCTCCTCCACCCTCTCCCCCAACTCCCTCAACTGCTCCTCCCGCATATCCCTCGCCTTCTTTCCCACCCTCGAAGCCTCCATAATCTTCTGCATATCTCTCGCCCTCTCCGTCGGAAGCCCTGGCGAAAAATCCGCATACTGCTTCATATTCTGCCATATACTCCTTCCACTATACTGTTTCGTGACGTGGTTCGCTGAAAAGAGCCATATGCCACCTAGGGAAACGGTGTAGAAGTCGAATTTTCGAGGTGGGAGGACGGCTATTACAGGGCAGGCGATGAGGCAGGCTATTGAGACGGTGCGTGTGACGGAATCGTATTGTTCGCGTTGTTTTAGTGCTAGTTGCTGCTCTGGTGTGAGCGTCTGGGTTGGGGCTGAGGAACTCATAGCGAGGGTAATTTCAGAGATTGGGAGGCTGCTGGATGAAGGAGGGTTATTAGGAGGTAAATTTTTATTATTTCGAAGATCTGGAGCTTAATGAGGGCGTCATGACATGAACGCAAAAGATTTGAGGTGGAGCTTTGTTTTCGATGAGCCCACGAGCTTGAAAGCCGAACCGAAAGCGCCAGCGCCGCACGACCGCGCTGAACCCCTTGCCAAGGCCCAAAAAAAATTATCCGGCACACACAATTTAAATTAGATAAAAAGAATTTATCGACACAGACAGGATTCGAACCTGTGCGGCCGAAGCCATATGATATCAAGGAATGTATTCGAGTCATACCCATTAACCACTCTGGCACTGTGTCTTCATAGTAAATCCAATATGAGAGCATTTTTTGGCATTAATCCTATATATATATTTGTGTTTATTAATCGTTGAATACTAACTGGTTCAAGGGGATGCGACAACCTGAGGTTAGTAGTGGCGAGGTATATTTCTAGTTGGGGTAGCGAGATTGTGGCGTAGATCCATTGTTGAGGAATACGGAGGATGGGTTTCCCGAACCGTGCGCATTCCGATAGACGAGAAGTTTGGGCATTTGGCCCTCGTAATGATATCCACATAGACCTTTTTCTAAAGGTATATATACGGTAATTGGCAAGCCCAAGGATAAAGATACGTTGCATATATTGTATCAATGCCTGAGCTTCATTGATAGTTTACATACCCAGGGTGCTCCCAAAATCCATCCATAACAATACTATTCGCCAGTATGCAACTAGTACAAGTATGACGTTGAAACCCAGAACCCCACGGGTATATATGCAAAAACAAAACACTAAGGACGCAGAATGCTTCAGCAACCAGCCTCATGCAATACTCGATACAATTCATACAAAAATCCATGCGCCGTTCCGGTAGACCAACTCAGCATCCTTCCTCCTTTCAGTAGCAGGAGTCTCCAGAGGGGTACCCAATCGAATATTTTCGTAAGGTAAATGGGTTGTCGTTCCGTTTTCTTTGTGAGCAGTCAGCTTCTGCTTCTTAAGAAGAGGAGTCATTCCTAGCGGCGGGGTCAATCTTCTGTCGTTACGCTCTTTTGGCGCATCGCTATCTTCGTTTTCATAAAAGTATCCCCTCTTGCGCTTCTTTGGTGTTAGTAACCAAGTATCCCCGCGCTCTTTGTGACGGTCCCTCTCTTTCAACCTTGCATCCACCTCCTCGGAGATGTCTACGTACTCAATGGGAGGACTTGCACGGCCCTTATCCGTCCTCGCCTTCTTAGTCGGAGAGATTGCCTCAGTCCTTGACGGTGGATCTGAAGTTCGTCTCTTTCCCGGAGCTGTTGGCCTTGGGGGAGCCGCAGCTAGCTTGACAACCAATCGCCGATTGAGAAGAGGTTTGTTGTTACGCAGAGAGATTACGGACTGAGCGTCTTCGGATGTTTTCATATTTACGAAACCGTAGCGGCCAGGCTGACCACGCCCGGGATCCTTTCTGGGAATGATCGCAGATTCTCTAAAATCGACTGTAAGCAGGACATCGGGGAAACTCGCCGGGCACGGTTGACAAAGAGCAACAATACTTACACTTTGTAGGGCGCAAAGAAGGCTAGTATTTCCTCTTCGGTTGTCCCAAGAGGGAGGTTCCCCACAAAAAGTCGCCTTCTTTCATGCATTGCTATTCTAGCTGCTTCCTCGGAGTCGGCATAAAGATCATTTCCCTCCACCATTGATTCTGGCTTCAAATTATCAAAGGCTTCAGAAACAGATCCCACTGTGGAAAAAGGTCGTTGTCTCCAGTCCGCAGGAGAGACAAGAGAGGGTTTAATATGAGTTTGAGGTGCAGATTGAGGCAGAGCGGTTCCTAAGTTTTCCCTATTTGTATCCACGCGAACGCCGCTGATATAATCGATCTAGTTCATAATGAGCACTGCCATCGACCATAAAGTTCATAGAGACAGATGCGGGTACGAGACACGGCGTTCACAGAAAGCTATACTAGTATAATTGGCAGCATGTGAGCTTCGCAGTATGGTTCGTGAGCGTCTCGTGTACCTGAAATCCCAACCACGGAGTTTAAACTCATGATTAATTGCATATAACTCACCAGATTGTTCTTCACAGCGTCCATCCGAGCCCTCAATTTGCTTGTCTGAGTCCTCAGCTGTCGAATGTCCTGCACAATAACCCCAAACCCCGGCACTGCCAAATGGGAACCATTGACCGCTTCATTCAGGAAATGGCACTGCGCATCGAGTTGCGCAATATGCAACTCAAAGCCCTGTGTTAACACCAATAAATGTCAGTGTTTGATCCTAGCTAAACATTCGTTGTCTGGAAACATGAGAACATACAGTACGTAGGGATTCATCCATGGTGGCGAGCGTAGTTTAGAAGAGAATGGAGGCGTGGGTGAAGGGAAGGATAGGCATGTTTAAGAGGGCTGTGGGGTGGATTGCTTGTTTGAATGTTTTGTTCACTCGGCGGAAGCAAAGTCTCAGGCTTCACGGAGTGTGAGTCGGTCCGGTCAGCGGGAGATTAACGTCTTGGCAGAGTTTAAATCTAAATAAAGATTACCCCGGATATTAGTATTAAAATTGTTCTGTCACAGCCTGTTCCGATTGTTTCGGCATTTTATATTATTTCTAGGTCATAAGAACCACATATGGAGGCCAATTTAACTTTGTTGAGAGGCGAAAATTCAAAATGCTTCGTTACTCATTATATCAAAAAGGCTCATATCCTTCAAATCGCGATATGGGGCCCGTCCTTCAAGCACTGTTCAACTTCGTCACTCCCTCAGTAACTCTATCCAAAACATCCTCCAAAATCATCAAGTCCATCAATCCCGCTTTCCCGCCTTCCTCGCCCTCCATTTCCCACAATTCCCCGCCCTTTTCCAAGTTCTCTCTAAACCTGCTAGCTACCTGCCAAAGTGGATGCATGTACGATCCCCTAATGTTATTGCCCTCGTGTAGCCCCGCAATATCAAGTATCTCATGCAATGGTTTTGCACGAAGTAGGAGGTAATAAAAATTCAGTGCGGCGAGGAAGAAGCCTAATTCGTTTCTGAACTGCATCCATGACTCTACAAGCCCTCCGGATACGGTCCATTCATGTGTTAGATCTGGGAAGAGGTATGGTGATACAGTAGAGAGAGCCACGGGAGTAGCGAAGATGGAAAGTGGATCATCAGATGGTGAATGCTCGGGCGCCGTCATGTCTCCCGTCTGTGTTGCTCGGAGTACCGGCATGTTCGCTTCCAGGATCTCACCTTTAAGCCAACCGACAGCCGAAGCCTTAAGATTCTCGTAAGGGCAATGCTCGAGAGTATCGCGTATGAAGGATAGCCGAACGACATCTGAGGGATGCGAGCGGAGAATGGTAGAGGTGAGATAGTGTGCATGGTAACGGAGCGCAGGTGAAGATGTGTTGGCGGAGATTAAAGAAGTTGTTTGAAGGTATCTGTTAAATTGTTCGTCATCCAGTGGTTCACCTATTTGATTCTCCTCCAACGCAAGAAGGCCGAGGCAAAGGATCGCGTCAAGGAGGGCTTCCGATTCCGTTCCGATGCTTGAGAGACCGTTCCTGCCGACGAAGTTCGTTAGGATAGCTGAGTGTTCGGGAAATATAGACACTGTGATGTCTGTTCTAGCTGTGTTGAACAAGACCTCTGATATCTTTCTGGCTGTGAACAGAAACAGGGAGCCGGTTTTAGACAAGGGGATGTCTTGAGCAGAGGCTGGCGGATCGCTCTCCTCTCCCGGAAGTCCAGCCTCTTCCACATGAGAATCAATGACGGTTTGTAAGAGATCCCATGAGTTTAATCCCAGATCTTGCGCAATAGCTACGAGTTGGCCAACGGTGGACGACCGACCTTGCAAGTACTCCTCATTTGCGAATTTGTCTGCGAAGGTAGGCTTGCCTGGAACAACCTTAGCTGGCTGTAGATTTTCCATTAACCTACTAGACCAAGCCAGGCCAGGAACATCTTGAGACGAGGACAAAGAGAGATTGTAATCCTCTAGAATGTGTGTAATGAATGATTGCAAAAGGCGATTTGTTAATGTACTCTCCTCGTCCGAAGGAGGTTCATTCTGGGCCTCTGGATCAGGCTCTGGGTTTTTCGAAGACACTTTCAGTATGTTACCGCCACTTACTCGCGGTGGGAGATGAGGTCTCTTGGTTCCAGAAAGGGTTTTGGCAAATTTTACCACGGCCAAAGTAAGTTCGTCAATGTGCGTTTCCGCCTTGGAATAGCATACCAGAACAGCCTGAAGGGTGGTAGAAAGGAAGCGACTGGGATACTTCGTTTTCACGCGTTGATGCAGTATTGGGAGTAATGAGAGGAGGGCCTCAAATTGCAGAAGAGGGAGAGGCATTTTGACCGGAGACTGGACTGTTCGGCTTGTGCTGGATTCTCCAAGCTCCGTTGGTTGTCCTCCAATCGCAGACTCACGAAGAGCCTCTGCAAGTGCTTCATCTTCATCAGCCTCCGAGTCCGCTTGCGGCTCATCGAATTCCAGCATTCTCAGCGCTTCAGTGACCTTCAGAATGACTTCACGGGGATTCCCCCGCACTGCGATGTCTTCTAGGCATGACTGTGACTCAGGTAGAAGCGGCAAGAGAAGCTGAACAAGGTCCCAGCCAATATTAACCGTGAGTTTTGTATCTTGTAAGACTTGATGCAAAATCTCGAGGTTATCTTTCGTAAGATTATACTCGATAATGGTCAGATAGGTAATGTAATCTGTAACTGGCGGCAGGGCTGCCAGAAGTGGATTTTGCTCCTTGTCGCTCATCGCTGCCGGTTTAAGAGAAAGAAAGCAGCCTGAAAGGAATGTTCTTATTCGGTAGAAAAGAATTGTCTTTACGGAAGGATTTGTGATAAAATGGCTCGACTTGAGGTGAGCTTGGCCTGTCGCATTCGTGGCGTACTGCAGGTGCGTCATATGCTTCATCGGGAGCGACGTCCTGAATTACAATGATGACTCAGCATGCCACGAAAGCTCGACCCTTCGCAACCTTTACATCCCACCTAGCAGCAAACAGCATCATCGTATCCGCTCCCTACTCTCATCATGGCCGACATAGACGACGGGCCGTCTACCTCAGTCTCAGAGCCTCTCGATCTTGTCCGCCTATGCCTCGACGAAGTTGTATTCGTGAAGCTTCGAGGCGATCGCGAGTTGAAAGGAAGACTGCATGTGCGTAATTCTGAATGTAGCGCAATCTCCTTGGACCGCGAGCAGTGCAGCTGACCATTAAACAGGCATATGACAGCCATTGCAACATGGTTCTCGGCGATGTAGAGGAAACGATATACATAACCGAAGAGGACGAAGAGGAACAGGAAATTACG